ATACCACAAATGTGGCACTACAATTACCTACAAGCACACTCCTCTAGGTTACTGCTGCATGCTGGATTACGTAGTCACCTTCTAAGTGAAGACTTGATATAATTTTGTAACCTACCAGGACAACACGATCACCTGAAACAGGACGTTCAGTTCAGAAAGCTCTAAGAACTGAGGTACTACAACTACCAGCATGCACACACCATTAAGCCAACCCTGGTCTATGCAGTCATCCGGCAGGATCTGGTTTGCCCAGGCCTATCCTAAAATTTTAATCCGATAAAATCAAGACTTATTCTCACCAGGATAAATTTATGTCAAATACTAGGATGACCCTTAGATCACCTATAGTAAGTAGTTCACTTCAGTAAGGGCTAAGTACTGGGGTACTACAACAACCAGCAAGCATGGTTTCCCCAGGCCTATCCTAAACTTTCATTCTAATAAACTGAAGACTTATTCTCACCAGGATAAAATTTTGTTAACTACTAGGATGACATAGATCACCTGTAACAGGAAGTTCCGTATGGTAAACTCCAAGTAGTGGGTACAACTACCAGCAAGCATGCTCCGCTAAGCCACCGCTGCATGCTGGTCCATGTAGTTCTCCAGCACAATCAGGTTTCCCCAGTCCTGTACTAATATTTAAATCTAATAAACTGAAGACCTATTCTCACCAGGAAAAATTTATGTAAAATACTAGAACGACACAGATCACCTGTAACAGGAAGTTCAATTGAGTAAGCAGTAAGTACAGGTGTACAACTACCAGTATGAACATTCCTTAAAGCCAATCCTGGACCATGTAGTCCTCCAGTAGAACACGCTTTCCCCAAACCTATACTAATATATTCATCGAATATCCTGAAGACTCTTCCCACCAGGACACTCAAATCACCCGTAACAGGGAGTTCAATTTCTGAGTATTAGATACTGGGGTACTACAATTACGTGTATTTACACTCCGTTAAGGCAATACTACATGCAGAACCATGTAGTCCTCCAGCAGAATCCACTTTCCCCATGACAACACTAATTTTTTTAAATAAACTGAAGACTTATTCTCATCAGGATATCATTTTGTAAACCACTAACATGACACAGACCACCTGTAACAGAAAGTTTGGTTGGATTTGCATCAACTACAGAGATACCAGAATTGGGGTACCACAACTACCAGCAAACACGATTCTCCAAGTCACTGTTGCACACTGGACTATATAGTCATCTAGCATAATCAGCTTTCCTTGGGCCTATCCTAAAATTTTAATAAACTAAAGACCTAGTCTCACCAGGATAGACTTGTGCAAGCCACTAGGACGCCACAGATCACCTGTCACAGGGAGTTTCCTTTGATGAGCATCAACTACAGAGGTACCACAAATGGGGCACTACAATTACCTACAAGCACACTCCTCGGAGTTACTGCTACATGCTGGATTAGGTAGTCATAGTCCAATAAACTGAAGACTAAATCTCACAAGGATATAAGTTTGTAAAGTACTAGGATCACACTTGATTACCTGTAACAGTAAGTTCAGTAAGCTCTAAGAACTGGGGTACTACAACTACCAGCATGTACACTCTTCTAAGTCAACCATGGTCTTTGCAGTCATCCAGCAGAACCCACTTTTCCCAGGCCGAGCCTACAATTTTAATCCAATAAACTAAAGTATTCTCACCAGGATAAATTTATGTAAACTACTAGGATGACCCTTAGATCACCTGTAACAGGAAGTTCACTTAAGTGCCAAAATACTGGGGTACTACAACTACCAGCATGCATACTCCTCTAAGCCACTGCTGTATACTGGACTATATAGTCATCCAGCAGAATCAGTTTTCCCTCTGCCTATCCTAAAACTTTATTCTAATAAACTGAAGACTAAAGCCTGGCACACATGGCAAGTTGTTTTGTCATTCAGCCTGATGAAAAACTGAGCAGCTTGCAAGAAAGTCTCTGTACTATTAAATGTTAGTGGAGAACTCCCCTGCTGTGCTATTGTGTTCTGACAGGGGGGTGGCCCCCTCGCCTGAACACACGAGTCAGCGCTCGCAGTCACTGGTTGAGAGCACTGATTGGATGCAGATTGGCTGCTGGTTTTCCTGCATTCGTGCTCGTTTGACAGAAGTCGGTCATGAGATCGGCTTCTGTCAAACAAGGCCCTGTACACACAGGCTGAATGTTGGCTGATATCTACTGTACAAGCCAATTTCGACCTATATTTGGCCTGTGTGCACAGTGCTTTAGTCTCACCAGGATGGAATTCTGTACACCACTAGGATGACACTCAGATCACCTGTAACAGGGAGTTTGGTTACACGAGCATTAACTACAGAGGTACCACAACTGAGGCACTACAATTACCAGCAAGAACGCTTCCCTAAGTTACTGCTACACATTAGACTATGTAGTCCCCCAGCAAAATTCACTTTCCCCCGACATATCCTAAAATTTTAAACTAATAAACTGAGGACTTATTCTCACCAGGATAAAATGATGTTAACCACTAGGATGACACAGATCACCTGTAAAAGGAAGTTCCATTCAGTAAGCTCTAAGTACTGGGGTACTACAACTACCAGCAAGCATACTCCTCTAAACCAACCCTGGACCATGTAGTCCTCCAAGAGCATCATCTTTCCCCCAGCCTAAACTAATATTTATTTTCCTGAAGAGTCTTTTCCTAGCAGGACACTCAGATCACCTGTAACAGTTCAGTCTGGTATTAAGTGCTGGTGTATTACAATGACCAGCAGATCAGTAAGCTCCAAGTACTGGTGTACTACAATGACCAGCAGACCAGTAAGCTCCAAGTACTGGTGTACTACAATGACCAGCAGACCAGTAAGCTCCAAGTACTGGTGTACTACAATGACCAGCAGATCAGTAACCTCCAAGTACTAGTGTACTACAATGACAAGAAGGTCAGTAAGCTCCAAGTACTGGGGTGCTACAATGAACAGCAGATCAGTAACCTCAAAGTACTAGTGTACTACAATGACCAGCAGGTCAGTAAGCTCCAAGTACTGGGGTACTACAATGACCAGAAGGTCAGTAAGCTCCAAGTACTGGGGTGCTACAATGAACATACAGTAAGCTCCAAGTACTGGGGAACTACAGTGACCAGCAGTCAGTAAGCTCCAAGTACTGGGGAACTACAGTGACCAGCAGGTCAGTAAGCTCCAAGTACTGGGGTACTACAATGACCAGCAGACCAGTAAGCTCCAAGTACTGGGGAACTACAGTGACCAGCAGGTCAGTAAGCTCCAAGTACTGGGGTACTACAGTGACCAGCAGGTCAGTAAGCTCCAAGTACTGGGGTACTACAGTGACCAGCAGGTCAGTAAGCTCCAAGTACTGGGGTACTACAGTGACCAGCAGGTCAGTAAGCTCCAAGTACTGGGGTACTACAGTGACCAGCAGGTCAGTAAGCTCCAAGTACTGGGGTACTACAGTGACCAGCAGGTCAGTAAGCTCCAAGTACTGGGGTACTACGATTCCCAGCAAATACTGGGTGACCATTCCCCGTAGGTCAGCAATCTCACAGTACTGGGATACAATAATTCCCCGCAGGTCAGCAATCTCACAGTACTGTGGTGCTACAATTCCCCGCAGGTCAGCAATCTACAAGCACTGGAAGACTACAATTCCTAGCAGGTCCGTAATCTCCAAGCACTGGGGGACTACAATTCCCAGCAGGTCCATAATCTCCAAGCACTGGAAGACTACAATTCCTAGCAGGTCCGTAATCTCCAAGCACTGGGGGACTACAATTCCCAGCAGGTCCATAATCTCCAAGCACTGGGGACTACAATTCCTAGCAGGTCCGTAATCTCCAAGCACTGGGGGACTACAATTCCCAGCAGGTCCATAATCTCCAAGCACTGGAAGACTACAATTCCAGCAGGTCCGTAATCTCCAAGCATTGGGGAATACAATTCCCAGCAGGTCCGTAATCTCCAAGCACTGGGGGACTACAATTCCCAGCAGGTCCAATCTCCAAGCACTGGGGGACTACAATTCCCAGCAGGTCCATAATCTCCAAGCACTGGGGGACTACAATTCCCAGCAGGTCCGTAATCTTCAAGCACTGGGGGACTACAATTCCCAGCAGGTCAGTGATCACCAAGCACTGGGGGACTACAATTCCCAGCAGGTCAGTGATCTCCAAGCACTGGGGGGATACTACAATTCCCAGCAGGTCAGTAATCTCCAAGTACTAGGGGGATTACAATTCCCAGCAGGACTGTAATCTCTGAGTACTGGGGGACTACAATTCCCAGCAGGTCAGTATACTCCCAATTACTGGAGGGACTACAATTCCCAGCAGGTCAGTATACTCCCAATTACTGGGGGACTACAATTCCCAGCAGGTCAGTATACTCCCAATTACTGGAGGGACTACAATTCCCAGCAGGTCAGTATACTCCCAATTACTGGAGGGACTACAATTCCCAGCAGGTCAGTATACTCCCAATTACTGGAGGGACTACAATCCCAGCAGGTCAGTATACTCCCAATTACTGGGGGACTACAATTCCCAGCAGGTCAGTAATCTCCAAGTAGTGGGGTACTACAAAGACCAGAAGGTCAGTAGTCTCCAGGTGCTGGGGGACTACAATTCCCAGCCAGAAGACTCCTCACTGTCAGTGCAGCATGCTGGTGCTTGTAGTTCTCCAGCAGTGACACTCCCCCGACCTGCATTGATGTGGATCTCCCCCTCTGCAGACTCTCTTCTCTCCCCGAAAAACACATATCTCCCTCTCCCCCCGGGGCCCGTCCTGCCCGATGGGCTCTATAATAGTTTCCCAGCCCCCTCCCCCGATGTCACCTCATACACTGCCCTAGGCCGGGTGAGGGTTTTAATAGACGGTAGGCCTCGGCCTGGCCCGTAGCCGGAAGCCGGGCTGAGCAGGAAGGGGGAGCCCCGAGATCTCCGCACTGAGGCCTACACTCCAGGCCGAAGCCTGAGCTGGAGTAACGGCGGCGCTCCATGTACCTGGTAGGGTTGGGAGTCCCTTCGGTCGTGACAGCTGTGAGGAGAGAAGAGAGAAGGCGGTTAGGGGGTGAGACATGACACCGGGCAGGAAATGAAGGGGGGTGGGGGGGGTTCGCAGTAAAAATGGCGGCTCCGCCTGAGAGAAGGAGGAGGGGAGGGGGAGCGGAGAAGAGGAAGAAGCTCGGTTACCCATCACTGAGTCTCGGTTGTTTCCTTGCATACATTACCATCAATGCTGTGTGTGAGTGGGGTGTGGAGGCGAGGAGAGTGCGGCTGACAAGTGACACCCGGCGGGCGAGCGGGCGCGGCTCGGGCACTACGGGGGGAGGGACCCCGCTCTATCACTACCTAACAGGAGGACAATGACAGCGCACTCCGCTCCTCGGTATGTGGATGTGTTAATGGGGCGAGCGCCCGCGGTCCATCTCCCCCCCTGCACACACACAGACACAGACGGCACGACGCAGCGGCGGCGCGGACACTCGGGAACGCGCACTACACAGTCCCCGTCCTGGACGCCGGAGCGCGCATGCGCTGCCCCGCCTTACTCGATACGCCAATGCGCATGCCCCGATCTGTCACTACGTGACGCCAGCACGCACGGCCGCAAGATGTAGCTTGTCAATGACGGTTATGGGTTGTTTTTTTTTTTGTATATGAAACTTTATTGCTAACAGAAGATTTTATAGACGTAGCACTAAATACTGTATATTGTTTGGTTGGGCCAAAGCATGTTGGTGTTGTACTAACCAAAGGCAGTGGTCAGTGCACTCAGGATTCAGCCACGGTTTACACTTGTCTGCTTCATTGCAGGGTGTATTATAGACTTCCCCCTCATATTAGGGCTGCTTCACACCAAGCGCACTGGGATGCAGTTTGCTGCATTGTGGACTGTACTCCAGCTGCGTAGACAGTCCAAACTCCAGGCTATCCTATGGACATCGTTCACACCATTGCAGTGTAATGCAACGCAGTGCGGAAAAGTACAACATGCCGCTCCATAAACATGCAAAAACGCACGCAAACGCACAGTAACATCACAGTTCATGTAGAAGCCCAAAAAAGGAAGTGACCTCACAGGAAAAATGCAGATAGAAAAATGTGCGTCAACTGCGTGTGAACGCGCCTCAAATGTATGCATAGGTCCAAGGAAAAAACGCGCAGTTACTTGCAGTTTCTGGTGTGGACGGGCCCTTCCTGTTCTGTAAATAGATAAACACAGCTTCAAAATAACAGCTTGTCTCTATAAAACACAGTTGACACACTTGACCTCTGGAAGGTTTTACCCCCTTCATGACCAAAGCATTTGTTTGCTATTCAGCACTGCGCTACTTTAACTAGCAATTGCTCGATCATGCAACACTGTACACAAAAGAAATGTATACCTTTTTTTCCCACACAAATAGAGCTTTCTTTTGGTGGTATTTGATCACCACTGGGGTTTTTATGTTTTTATTAACCAGTTGCCACCCGGTCTATAGCCAGATGGCAGCCGGGCGAACAGCTCATTCCTCCGGGTGGATGCCATATGGCGTCCTTTCAGGCATGCGCAGTGCGCCCTCCCACAGGGCCATTCTGCGGCGCGATCTGTCACCGGCTGTGGTTCTCGGACACAGCCGATGACAGATCTGTGTACCTGCCCCGTTGCCAGTACCATGTGACCTGCTGTGACCAATCACAGTTGTATACAATGAATGGCTTCCTTTCATGCCATCCATTGTATACAAGTGTGTCTAGCTGTGAATGGTCACAGTGATCACATGCACAAGCTGGGCCAATCACAGCCCACCTGTATCGTGATTAGCCATGGCCAAGTCACAGCTAAGCACAAAAAAAAAAACCCTGAATGAATCGATGTCATTCAGGTAAATACTTGCTTATAGCAAAGTAATTCTTTGCTATAAGCAAATTGTGTAGAAAAAAAAAATACTGATCACTTCCCCAAAGTAGTACAATGTTACTATGGTAACATTATACTACTTTGATCATAAAGAAATATGAAAAAAAATCTTAAAAAAAGAGAAAAAAATGTAATAAAAAATTAAAACTAATAAAAATATTTAAAAAAATACTGTCACCAGTCAGTGTCCCTGATCACCGCCATGCCAGTTATATGATGACGCTGCACTGCACTGGTGACAATATGTAAAAAAAAAATAGTAAAAATAATTTTTTAATTTTTTCACTTTCCGAAAAATTATGACAAAAAAATTACAACTTCAAAAAACTCGCCATGCCTTTTATGAAATACGTTGGACTGTCTATTTTGCAAAAAGGGGTCATTTGGGGGATATCTGTACTGTTCTGACATTCTTGGACCTCAAGAAATTAGATTGGCTGTCAGTACTTCAGGATTGATCAATATTCAGATCTATACCATAGTTTGTGAACTCTATAACTTTCCTACAAGCTAAATAATACATCCTAATTTGGGTTATTTTCACCAAAGACATGTAGTAGAATACATCTCGCCTAAATTTATGAAGAACATTTATTTATTTATTTGCAAACTTTTATAACAGAAACAAAGAAAAACGTGTGTTTTTTTTAAATTTTCGTTCTTTTTTTGTTAATTTAGCAAAAAAAATAAAAACCCCAGTGTTGATTAAATACTACCAAAAGAAAGCTCTAGTTGTGTGAAGAAAATGATACAATTTTAGTTTGGGTACAGTGTTGTATGACCGCGCAATTGTCATTCAAAGTGTGAGAGCGCTGACACCTGAAAAATGGCCTGGGCAGGAAGGGGGTAAAAGTGCCCTGTATAGAAGCGGTTAAACAAGAAAAAAATTTCTACTTCCTGTTACAAAACATCCAATAATATCAATTTTCTTCATAAATTTAGGCCAAAATGTATTGTGCTACATGTCTTTGGAATAAAAAAAATCCAGCATAGTGATTGGTTTCTGTGAAAGTGATAGCATCTACAAACTGTGGTATATGTACTGGAATGTACGCAGCTATAGTCTTGTAATAGTGGCGTGCAATATGGAGCTAACAGACCCTGGCTGGGAGACACTAACTGACACAAACGTTGCTAGTGACACTAATACAAGTGATCAATGATAATACTGCACTGTACTAAGGACACTGGCTGGGAAGGGGTTAACATGAAGGGGAAATCAGGGGGTGAACTGTGTGTCTAGCAAGTGTAATGTGCGCTGCTTTTACACACATATCTGACTTCTTTTCTCTTTGAACTCAGAGTTGATTTCAGGGAGAAGAAATAACCAGGTCACTGCCTGTACAGAGTTCTGTGTGTTTGAAAACACAGAGCTCTGTGCTGTGATTGGCCACAGCTAATCAGCAGGTATAGAGCCACAATCATTGGTGAAAACCCACTAACAAACTCGTGCTGTGTCCAATCACAACCCAGGTGAGCAGGGGCGCCTGAAAACCAGAAAGTTCACTGAAACATACGGGTATGTCGCAATGCCTGGCTGTGTCACCCACTAGCAGTAAATGTACTGTTAGGGCAGGGGTGTCAAAACCAATGTAATCATGGGCCGTAACATCATTATGGTTGCCCTCAAAGGGCCGGTTGTATCAATAAGACTAGCTGTCCAGAGCACCCCCCCCTTTTCATCAGATGTAAAGAGCCCTCTCACCTTCAGAAGTCGACTCCTCCACCAAGTGCAGGGTCTGGAGGAGGACCAGAGGGGGTATGTGGTCAGCTGCCAGAGTCTGTTGAATACTGAGACCAGGGGAGGTGTCAGGGCTCCGGGAATGACCAGAGGTGTGTGGACCGACACAGGGAAACACAGACTTCAGGTATAGCGTGTAAACAAGATAATTTATTAAGGACAACACAAACATAAACGCAGTGCAACAAACAAAACCCAAAACTAACACAAATACATACAACAAGGTGAAACAAACCCAAACCTAAACTGATATATATATATGGAGCGCAACGTAGTCAGGCAGGCTGGGTCGGTAGCTAACGGGCAAACGGTACCAGAGCGAGCGGAAGAGTGGTCAGGAATAGCCGAGGTCAGGACAGGCGGAGTTCGTTCAGAGTCAGGATCAAAGCAGGATCAGGCAGGAAGCAGACAGGGTACAGGGGCTCATGGGAAACATACACCAAGGCACTGATCACAGGCCTGGTCCTGCTTAAATACACCTCCTGCAATCAGCCTCAGGTGATGGCCTGATTGCAGGAGTGAGATTCTGGCTGCTGAGAGCACCCGCTGGCCAGCCTTGGTACTGCAGCCCACAAAGCAGGTGAGTCCCACCACCATTGGTGAGTCCATTCCTGACAGTACCCCCCCAAGGAGCGGCCTCAGGATGTTCCAAACAGTCCTTAGTGGGCAAAATGTTCCACCGCCTGGGTCAGGTAACTGGCTGGATATCAGGGGCTGGCACATCAGGCTCAGGCACATCAGGCTGGGCAGCGGGCGGAGGCACATCAGGCTGGGCAGCGGGCGGAGGCACATCAGGCTGGGCAGCGGACGGAGGCACATCAGGCTGGGCAGCGGACAGAGGCACATCAGGCTGGGCAGCGGGCAGAGGCACATCAGGCTGGGCAGCAGGCAGAGGCACATCAGGCAGAGCAGCGGGCAGAGGCACAACAGGCGGAGCAGCGGGCACCGGCCATCAGGCGGAGCAGCGGGCACTAGGCCATCAGGCGAGGCAGCAGGCACCGAGTCACCAAGCTCGACAGCGGGCACCGAGTCATCTGGCACGACAGCGGGCACCGAGTAATCTGGCACGACAGCGGGCACCGAGTCACCAAGCTCGACAGCTGGCACCGAGTCATCGGGCACGATAGCGGGCACCGAGTCATCGGGCACGACAGCGGGCACCGAGTCATCTGGCATGACAGCGGGCACCGGGCCACTAAGCTCGACAGCAGGCACCGAGTCATCTAGTAGAACAGCAGGCACCGAGGCACCAGGCCGGACCACGGGCACCGAGGCACCAGGCCGGACCACGGGCACCGAGGCACCAGGCCGGACCGGGTCATCAGGCTGGATCGGGTCATCAGGCTGGATCACGAACACGGGGTCATCAGGCCGGATCGGGTCATCAGGCCGGATCGCTTCATCAGGCTGGATCACGAACACCGGGTCATCAGGCTGGATCGGGTCATCAGGCTGGATCAGGTTTTCAGGCTGGATCGGGCCATCAGGCTGGGTAGTGGGCACCAGGCCATCATGCTGGATAGGATCATCAGGCTGGATCGGGTCATCAGGCTGGATCGGGTCATCAGGCCGGATTGCTTCATCAGGCTGGATCACGAACACCGGGTCATCAGGCTGGATCGGGTCATCAGGATCAGGTTTTCAGGCTGGATCGGGCCATCAGGCTGGGTAGTGGGCACCAGGCCATCACGCTGGATAGGATCATCAGGCTGGATCGGGTCATCAGGCTGGATCGGGTCATCAGGCTGGATCACGAACACCGGGTCATCAGGCTGGATCACGAACACCGGGTCATCAGGCTGGATCGGGTCATCAGGCTGGATCGGGTCATCAGCTGGGTAGCATACACTGGGGCATCAGGCTGAACAACGGAAGGCGGGTTCCCAGACAGCAGGCTGACCGGTTTGGATACTGGTAGGATGGTACTGGTTGGAAAGAATTTTAGCTTCTTCTTGGGTTTAGTTACTGGGGCACTGCAAGTAAATGCAGGTCTGTAAATGGATGGAGTAGCTGGGGACAGAGAAGAGCTGGAGGATGGAACAGAGGAGCGAATAGTTGTTACAGCAGCCTTTTTTACAGGGTTAAAGGCAGGATAGGTGCAGCGAGTGGGAACAGGGTACTGACATGTGGTAGATAGCAGGGTATATTGGGCTGTCACTGGGGGTGCTGTTGGGAATGCAGGAGTAGAGCTGTGAGCAGAGGAATGATTAGAAGCAGGATGGGTTTGTTGCAAGCTGACTGAGGCTGGGTGTAACAAGTCTGACCAGGACTGTAGTATTGGTTGAACAAAACTCAGCTTACACATAGCCTGTCTGACCAAAGACTGCACTGCGTTTATACACTCCACTAGCACATGTGGTGAACATGCTGAATAATGTTCCCAGAAGCAATCCGGATCATCCTCCAACAACCATACCAGTGATTCTATTTATCCACACTGAATGGTGGAAGAAAGTCATCCCTGCTTTCAGGGGTACTAGATGAAGCCAACTCAACACAAGCCTGAATCAATGGTTGCACCTCAGAAAACTCCGTGCCCTGATCTACTAGGGAATGAGTGACCCATATGCACTCTAGCAGCTGATCCCTGGTATACTCCTGCAGAGTCTGATAGGCATATTCTCTGTCATCTAAGACTAGCAAATACAAGTATATAACCTCCTCAGGATGCATCCTTCCCAACAACAGGCCAAGATGGCTTCCCTGTGCAGCTACTTCTGGTCAGGAATGGCCTTGGTGTAATGTCAGGGCTCCGGGATTGACCAGAGGTGTGTGGACCGACACAGGGAAACATAGACTTCAGGTATAGCGTGTAAACAAGATAATTTATTAAGGACAACACAAACATAAACGCAGTGCAACAAACCAAACCCGAAAACTAACAAATACATACAACAAGGTGAAACAAACCAAACCTAAACTATATATATATATATATATATATATATATATATGGAGCACAACGTAGTCAGGCGGGCTGGGTCGGTAGCTAGCGGGCAAACAGGGTACCAGGAGCGAGAGGAAGAGTGGTCAGGAATAGCCGAGGTCAGGACAGGCGGAATTCATTCAGAGTCAGGATCAAAGCCGGATCAGACAGGAAGCAGACAGGGTACAGGGGCTCATGGGAGACATACACCAAGGCACTGATCACAGGCCTGGTCCTGCTTAAATACACCTCCTGCAATCAGCCTCAGGTGATGGCCTGATTGCAGGAGTGAGATTCTGGCTGCTGAGAGCACCCACTGGCCAGCCTTGGTACTGTAGCCCACAAGGCAGGTGAGTCCCACCACCATTGGCGAGTCCATTCCTGACAGGAGGTGGAGATGAAGGGGTGTTGCCGCTCCACAGAGAGACGCAGGATCTGTAGAAGAGTGTTCTGTCCTTTCTCTCTGCTGCTGACTGCTGAGACCAGGGAAGGTGGAGATGAGGGGGTGCTGCAGCTGCACAGAAAGATGCAGGATCTGTTGAAGTTCTGTCTTTTTCTCTGCTGCCGACTGCTGAGACTAGGGGAGGTGGAGATGAGGGGGTGCTGTGGCTGCACTGAGTAGCGCAGGATCTGTAGCAGAAGTTCTGTCCTCTCTGCTGCCGACTGCTGAGACTAGGGGAGGTGGAGATGAGGGGGTGCTGCGGCTGCACAGTGAGATGCAGCATCTGTAGGAGAAGTTCTGCACTCCTCTTTGCTGCCAACTGCTGAGTCTAGGGGTGGTAGAGATGAGGGGGTGCTGCAGCTGCACAGAGAGACACAGGATCTGTAAGAGAAGTTCTGTCCTCCTCTTTGCTGCTGACTGCTGAGACTAGGGGAGGTGGAGATGAGGGGGTGCTGTGGCTGCACAGAGAACGCGCAGGATCTGGTGAAGGAGTTCTGTCCTCCTCTCTGCTGATGACTGCTGAGACAAGGTGAGAACGGCACCAAGGGAGGGTGCCACAGCTGTAGGAGAGTTGCCAGGACCACATGGAATGCCCTGGTGGGCCGGATTCAGCCCACAGACCTTATGCTTGACACGTGTGTGAAGGGGTTGAAAGTGGTTAAAATGGAATTACACCCATCAATTTCACAGTTTCAAAAAGCAGTTATATTCCCAGCATGTCGGTAATGATAACTGTCACATTTGCTTCTCCTGTCAACCAAACTGTCAAACCATCAAATGGCTGGTGTCATAGCTGATCACATGTGCAGCACCATGGCAGTTGCAGGTCAAACAGAACCTAAGATGGCAGCTTCCTTGGCTGAAAAATATGGCCGGCTTTAGTCCCTCTTTAATGGGTTAGTCTACCTTTACCGTAACACTGCCTATGCAGATGATGGGCATCTGTAGATAAAAACAAAGTGCAGCTCTGACTAAAGGTGAATAATGCCCTTGCTATAGGTGTAGGCCATTTATGTACTTCCTGAAGTCTGATATCACCTGCATTGAATTGTGTTGTAACTGTACTGCCTGCCCTCACATTGTAAAGCACTGTGCAAACTGTTGGTGCTATAGAAATCCTGTATAATAATAATTGTATCTTAACTAATCAGCCCCTTCAGTGTTACCTATAACGCTGCCGCCTCCTCTTCACTCCCTCTCTCTGTTGGGGTCCCCCAAGGCTCTGTCCACGGACCCCTTCTCCTCTCCATCTACACCTCCTCCCTTGGCCAATTGATAAATTCCCATGGCTTCAATTACCATCTCTATGCTGACGACACACAAATCTATCTCTCTACCCCTCACCTCACCCCCTCAGTCTCCAATCGCATCACAATCCTACTAAGCGACTTATCGGATTGGAGGTCACTCCACTTCCTCAAACTGAATCTTTCCAAAACTGAGCTTCTAGTATTCCCCCCAGCCCGTGCCCCCTCCCCTGACTTCTCCATCAAGACCAACAACACTATCATCAGTCCCACCCCTCAAGCCAGGGTACTAGGTGTAATCCTAGACTCCAATCTGTCCTTTCAGCCCCAGGTCCAATCACTGACAAACTCATGTAGACTTCACCTCCGCAACATCTCCAAAATACGTCCGTTCCTAACCTCGGAAACCACTAAGCAACTCATCCACTCCCTTATTATATCACACTTTGACTACTGTAACTCCCTCCTCATCTGCCTACCTCATTGCAGGCTATCCCCACTACAGTCCATCATGAATGCTGCTGCCAGACTCATCCACCTTACTAACCGTTCCGTATCTGCCACCCCTCTCTGCCAATCCCTCCACTGGCTTCGAATTGCCCAACTGATAAAATTCAAAACGCTAACACTGACGTATAAAGCTGTTCATAACACTGCCCCAAATTACATCACCGATCTTGTCTCCAAATATCACCCAAACCGTACACTCCGCTCCTCACAAGACTCCTACTTTCTAGCTCCCTTGTCTCCTCCTCCCATGCTCATCTCCAGGACTTCCCCAGGGCTTCCCCCATCCTCTGGAACTCCCTACCCAAATCCATCAGACTATCGCCTACTCTGCTCACTTTTAGGCCCACTGTGAAAACCTATCTCTTCAGGGAAGCCTACCCCGCCCTCAGCTAATATTGAAATCCTCTACTCTTCCAACCACTCCATCCCCCACAGTTATTACCTCTTGTATCACTATCCCCTCCCTCCTAGATTGTAAGCTCCAAGGAGCAGGGCCCTCGAACCCCTCTTGTATTGAATTGTATTGTTACTGTACTGTCTCGTGTACTGTCTCCCACCATAATGTAAAGAGCTGAGGAAACTGTTGGCGCTATATAAATCCTGTATAATAATAATAATAACTAGAGCAGAAAAATGGAAATAAACAAAATTGTGTGTAAATAAATTAAACAAAAAAGTAAATCAAAGTTTGATCTTGGTCAGTGTCAAGGTTAGCGTTAGAGTCAAAGGTTAATGTCAGGATTGAGATCAGGGTCAGTATATTTTAGGTAAGATTTCTTTTTAAAAAGCAATTTTTAAATTAGTATCAGTGTCAGTGAGTGTCTCTGTGCTTTAGGTAGAATTTAAAAATACACACTTTTGTTTCTGTGCCCTACTATGGGTACAAACAACAAATAACATACAGATATGAGGTATTGCTGTGATCCTCGGGAATGGAAGAAGCCTGGCTGGAATACTTTTAGGATGTTGCTAGGGGGTTGCTAAGAGAGATCTAGTCATTACTGCTCATCTGCATCCTCATAGGAGTGAGCTCTCAAACGCTGTTCTCAGAGCTGATACATCAGGGAACAGAAAGAGCATGTGAGGGGGTTTAAATCAAAGAAAGAGCTCACTCTTCTGAAGGTGGAGGTAAGCAGTAATGACTAGGCCTCTCTTAGCAACGTCCTGACA